ATTTCGTACTGACTTTGCATTTCTTCGACTTTTCCATGTACCCGTGTGGGTTTAGTGTGCTTAGGTTGTTTCCCAGAGACCGACTGAAGCTTCATTATTTTATCCCAGTCAATATCGTCATTCTGAGGATTAATTTACCGAATATCTCGTCTCGTTGATTACTTGTAAAGTTCTCCAAGCTTGAATTTATTCCTGTACTAATACGAGGCTGAAATCGAAGTTATTGTATTTGAGATTAATTAAGCACATCGTTGTTGGTGAAGATGAAGACTGTTTCCATTTCTAGTAAGTTTTGTTATCTGTTGGCTAAGAGCAAACTTTCGAGAGCTCCGTGGACTCTATGATATGTACCTATTGGTCTATCGTGCCCGAAAGCACGATAGACCAATAGGTACATACCACGTTAGACACCTGAGCAATAGTCAGGTATATTTATTCCTAAACGCTTCACCTACATAATGTGCTTCATTAGCCAAATACAGAGGTGGGGAATATGGAGAGAGCAGTAGCAGTGGAGAGAGAGAAATGATGTGATCAGTCCCACATCCTTGAAATTTGTGGCAGTCAGTCCTTCAGCCTGGGGATGTGTTCAACTTTGTCTTGAAGCAGAAGGCTGATAGATTGATCACATCTTTACCTCTACACTGCTTCTGCTGTCTCGTTATTCGCTACCTCTGTAATGGACTGATGAAGCCTACTGTACAGGCGAAGCTTATTGGAATAAAGAAACCTAACGGTTGCAAATGTCTTGTTTATCTACTTGTCGTATTGTATACCATTACTACATTGATACCATTCCTGGTACAACACTGTTGCTTACCAATCTTCCATCTTACATCGGTGAGGTTGAAATCTGAGGAGGATAATATTTGGCGAATGATTATTAAAGGTTTTCAAAGCGGCTGTATATCTGTTTCGTCAATATGTAGTTGCTGATGGTGGTTTATATTAAAAAAATAATTAAGATTCTTCTTTCCTAATGACTATTACTTAAAATGTATTGAATGAAGACTTCGAGGGTTCTGTTAAGCAAAATGCGTCGTTCCCCGAGTGTCCTGCTCCTCCCTGGGACTTGTTTACTGTCTCGTATCTAAAAGCATCATTATTCACCCATATCTCGCCGTCCAAAATATACTTTTTGTGTTATTGTAATTGCTCAAAATATTGTATTAACGACTTTTATTTTAACGACTGTTATTTTGACGTGCTTTTTTTTTTAACCCTGGAGGTTAGGCGAAAAGTGAGAGAGGTGCTACTGGGAGTGCTTAATAATCTTTATTTCTACAAGTGCATGTACAAGGTATACAGGTCTAGCTGACATCAATGACATACTACAATATAGAAAGCCGCTTGTTACGCAGAGTATTTCGGGCAAATTAGGTAAATTTTGTCCCAGGATGCGACCCACACCAGTCGACTAACATCCACGTACCCATTTTACTGATGGGTGAACATGGACAGCAGGTGTCTTAAGGAAATGCATCCTAATGTCTCCACCCGTATCGGGGATCGACCTCCGGACCTCAGTGTGTGAAATGAGAGAGCTAGTAATCGAAGTAGTTTGATTAGCGCCTCTGGTACTGCATCTTACTGTAATATTGACGGTAATGTGGGCTGTTGTCTATCTGGTCCTGGTGTGAGAGGAGCGGGTATGCTGTGTCACTTGGTCTGTTTCCCTTCTTTTCTTCCTTAGTGTCTCGTTGTTTTGACGTGTTATCGTCCTCTTGATAAATTCAGCTATACAGTTACGTCTTCTTGACGTGGAACTTTGGACCGGAAAGATAAATACCCGAAAGATGTTTTTGGGGGGTCAGTGCCCCAGTGGCCCGGTCCCAGACCAGGTATCCAGGATAACTTAGGTCGTAACATTGTTTGGTTTGCACAGCTCTGCCTGAAATTAGCTGAATTCATCATTAAAGCAAGTGTCCCTCTCTCAACATTGACCACTTTCTCACGTGCTGGTAACTACATCTTTATCAATGATTATTGCAAATTACCCTGGCACAATTCTTGCACATATTACTTGTTTCTCTGTATGAAGTTTCTGACAGCTGTTTGAGCCTAAATCAAGTAACAGACTATTACATTCTTAGGGGGGGGGGGTGCTAAACCCGTATGGGCTCTATCGTTCATTGTGAATAGGAGAGGTGAAAGGGAGGAGAGGGTATTCAGATTCGATCTGAGAAAGGTGAAGAAATCTCCAACTGCTTGGATCACGAGCCCTTTAATAAAAGAATTTGTTCCTGAATTTCCAGACTCTTGTGCCTCGGCGCTGCAACCCGACTGAGGGTGAAGCTCTCGACACCTTCCTTGATGCTCGAGAGCTTCTGACCCAAGGAATTGGAGCTATCTTCTGTTTGCTAGACTTAAGCCTGATTGCTGTATGACTCCCCCAAACAGGTTTAGCGCTTTTTCATGAATGTAATAATTATTGTACTTTTTATTCCCCTCTAGGAAGGTTCCTTGATGTTGGTGAGGGGCTCTTGATTTAAGGAATTGGATCTGTGCTCCAGTTCCCCGAATTAAGCCTGAATGCCTTCCACATCCCCCCCAGGAGCTGTATAATCCTCCGGGTTTAGCGCTTCCCCCTTGATTTTAATAATAATAATGTACTTTTTATTTAGTATTTTGAGAATGTTAATTTTTGTTCTCTGAGAGAATTGTTCTCTGGTAGCTGGTGTGCTGAGTCTCTGCTCATCTTGCCGAATAAGGCAAGCGAAAATTTGCATATGCAATAATATCGCAAAAATCATTCTAAACTCAACGAAAAAAAATATATTTGTCTGATTTCAAGTTAATTCTCCTCTTCACGTTCTGGCTTCGTTACAGATGCGTTCCATTGGTTGTGGTTGAACTCGAGCAGCCATTAGCTACAACCTATGTTTGCAGTTCTTTAGTCATTCTCGTAGGAAATTATTTTTCTCGTAATTTTAATTTTGGCTATTACTACATAATTATAGGCATTATTATTACCAGTATTATAACTGAAATAGTTATTAAGAGTATTATCATTGCTAATTTTCTCACAATTTTGAAGGTTATCAACTTGAAACGTCATTCTTGAATTATTGTAATTATTATTATTATTATTAATTATTATTAGGTACGCACTGTGACCCATGCGGATTACAGTGCGTCCCTAGTTACAAGTGTCATTACCACTAGAGAGATCAATTTTTAAAGGGGTGGGTAAGCCTGAGAAAGGATTCGGTCAGGTGACCAAAAGCTCCAGCGGTGGGTCATTTGACTAAGATTCCCGTCAGGGAACACTTGTCCGGTTTCCTAACAAATCTGACTTAACCTTTCCACTGGGGTTGTGGGATGAAGGGGTCATCAGGAGGCCACCCACGACAGCCGTCTAACACCCAGGTTCCCTCAAGGAAGGTTCCTTGACGCTGGTGAGGCATTCTTGATTCGAGGAACTGGAGCTACCCCTCTCCTCGGATCAAACCTGTTAGAGACGAAAGTTCCCCTTTTTTTTCGAACATTTGTAAACATTTGTCAGCATTCCCACGTTCTCGAGGAGGCAAAGCAAAATACAAGTCTTTTTCTCCGGACAGTAAAATATAGCCTTCAGGAACAGGGCCAAGAAGGTGGCGCGTTGCGGCGACGGTAAGGTTGTGTTTGCCGTTACCGTGTTGGTTAAAAACTGCCCTTACAGTGTGTTGATAAGTAGATCCCTCTACCCCAAGAGGTGCTGGCGCGGGGCTCAGCAGGGAGGCTGACACAATCAGTTCTCCCGTAGCTGCGATCAGGGCTCCCATACCTATAGATTCCCGTGTTTGCGCTCAGGGCTCTAATAGTCACACTCAGGGCTCCTGTAGCTGCACTTAGGGCTCTCGTAGCTGCACTCAGGTCCTTCGTAACTACCACTGGGGCTGCCCTCCTGATCACTGTACCATTGTCACCACCGCCACCAGCTTTGTTGACACATTCCACTGTTATTTAAACGAGGTGTGGAACCTAGACTGGGGTAGACCAGCGGATGCCAGACCACAGGTCATCGTGCGATAAAATCCCGTGTCAGAAGATCAGTGTTTCCACCTTTTTTTTTTTTTTTTGTACCTTAGCTTATCACCACCTGACGTAACAAACTCCTTTAAGTTAATGTGTTATGAGAGTTTAAGGTCTCTCTCTCTCTCTATATATATATATATATATATATATAATATATATATTATATATATATATATATATATATTTCTTTACGCAAGTTTTACGCTTATTGGTTTAGGAAACAGCAGGAGGACTCTGTGAATACTCAGACTAATCGTGAGTAGTCCTCGTGAGAGGCAGTGTTCATCCTAACGTGACCTCCAGTATACCTCGCTCTCACTGCCTCAGTTACACCTCTGATTGGTTATTAAAGTTTGTGAATGTTCTACGCTTTCCAGCGAAGAACACCCGAGAATCATCAGTTAAAATGTTCATTTAGCAATCTGATAATGACGTTAATAATACTCTAATACACATACACTGTACATAGAAATAACTCATGCGCTTAATGAAATAATCACAGGCATTAAAAAGTATATCTTGTGAACACCTACACAAAATAAGATACACAACATACAAAGAAGAAAATGCAGTATATATGTTAATAAAAGTAACATGGAATTAAAGAAGTTGTAACATAAAATAAGGTACAAAAATGTTTTAACTAAAAATAAGAAAATGCAATGCATAATAATAGCCTTATTGGTAAAAAAAAATGGGGATGAAAGACACTTTCATGGGTATATATGGGTGAAATAACATAGGATAATAGCACAGATAACGTTAGATAAACGAGATAGCACTACACGTGTATCACTCGGTTTGGCAGGATTCTAAAGGTTATAGAAACAATTTTGAATCCTTTCAGATAACTTGAATATTCAACTTAAAATCATTAGGCATTTCCCAGAAATATTCGTGGGATGTATTTCAAAAGCATAGATATGATGAATATACGATGGATGTGTAGTAGTCAGGGTGACACACACAAAACAAATACTAACTGGCGGTGGTAGCCTGGACGTCGCCCTTGGAGTACTCAGAGTCGCCCTTGTCGTTGAAGGCGAGGATGCTGAAGGAGTAGGTTGTGCCCAGGGAGAGACCCGTCACGGTGAAGCTGGTCACGTTCTCAGGGTAAACGTCTGTGTACTATGGGAGAGAAGAAAAGTGACGGTGATTGTTGTGATTTTGGGAAGGGGGGTGCAGTGGTCGCGGAAGAGAAGGAGGCGGGTGATTGTTGGAGTGGAGGTAGGGGTGCAGGTAAGGGTATAGTAGGAGGGGTAGTAGCCAGACTATTAATGGCAGGGAGGAATAGTGGCGAGAGTAATGGCAGGCGATAATAACAGAGGGGTAATGGCAGGTGTTAATAACAAGGGGTGAAGGTGGTAAGGGGAGGTAATGGCACTTTGTAATGACATGCTGTAATGCTTAGTATTAACTGCCTGAAGGGCAGAGGGGGGGGAGACGAAGGGCCAAGCTAATGACATTGTGCAACGAGATGGACAGAGGTGGGAAGGAAGGGAATTTATTCCGGGGTGGGAGGGGAGGGGAGGGGGGGGGAACGCGGCGGCTATGAAGTTAGTATGAACTGTGGTTAATGGCAAAAAAAAAAAAAAGTACTCTCTGCCAGTTCAAAATAATTCTACCAGTTTATAATAAGTTGGGGAGCAAAACTGCAGTTTTAACTTCTCTTAAACAGAGGGAACCAAAGGATTTAATTGTTCTCCTAATACTAGGAAATGCTGCATTTAAATGTTCCCTCTAATACCCCAACCACCACTTGTCAGCTGTTGCGAATAATGCAATTAGCGGAGAGGGTGTTTAACAGGTACCTACAACTCGCTAACTGCTACCTACCCCCTTTCCAACACCTACCGATTACTGGTCCCCACTCACTTGGTATCTGTTGGTGTCGGTAACGTGGAAACGGACCCTGTACCGCTGAGGCAGTCCACCATCGAAGCTTGGAGACCAGTGCAGGTCCACGGAGTTGTGTGTGTAATTGACAACCTGCAATACAATACAAAACAAATGTGTATATATATATATATCTTCTGAGTGCTGAGGAGGGGTTGTTGAGGTGGTTTGCTTATTTAGCGAGGATAGCGCAAAATAAGATGACTTGGAGGGTGTATAAATCTGCATTAGAGGGAAGACTGACCAGGGGTCCTAGGAACGGATGGATAGAGGTTGTAAAGGAGGTTTTAGTGTGCAAAGGGCTTGGACGTCCAACACGTGCATGTGAGAGCAAAGAAACAGTAATTCAGGGAAACCATTTAAATAGAATTTAATCCTGGAGGTGGGAAGTATAGTGCCTGTGCTCTGAAGGATGGCTGAAGATATGTTGCAGTTGCTGAACTGTAACATAAGTGCACTTCTGACAAGACAGTGATGGAAGTATTTCTTCTTTTTTTCGGGTCACCTGCCTTGGTGGGGAAACAGCCGATGTGTCAACAAAAAAATATATATATGTTATTGATATTTCGTGATGTCAAACCAGCTAAAGTTGTTTACAGTATATTGTTATTCACTGTAGGAGCAGACGAGACGAGGGAAACGGGAGGCAGTTGAACTATGCAAGGGAGGCTGGTGCCAAATCCTGGGATCACGAACCTTTCAAGGTGAAGGATAAGTCCTCTCAAACATTAACAGTTTCCGGAGAAATTATCAAAAAAAAAAAAAAATAACCGAATCAGTGTTGATAATATAAATTTAAATGAAACCTACTAATTTAGGCTCTGGCATATATGCTTTTATTTAAAAAATACCGATTGTCATGACTATTTTAAGTGGATTAAAGTCACGGGGGAAATTCAAAGGTAATAAAATCAGACGTAACTTAGTTGATAAAATATTAATAAAACTATTTTTACACGATACATAACTTTTGCAAATTGAATAACATTTAATGCAGACCAGACGCCTATCAATGTTTTTTTATTTTATTTATTTACTGTTAACTTGTTTCGAAGTCCAGCCATGTCTAATATGTTACCATCTTTCTCCCCAGGATGCCACCCTCGCCAGGCTTAGACAATCATCTCGACTTTCAGAACTAAACCCGCGTCCTTCGCTTGCGAATCGAAAAAGCCATGTTAAGGTACTGTGTACACCCGCCACCATGTACATGCGTGAAACAAACTATTTCTGGCAGAGAGAATGTAACTGGTCATGGTAAATTAATATATTAGGCCAAAAGCTGAGACTCCACCCCTGCAAGTACAAGAAAAGGTGTTGGGGTAAACAATGCAAATTGCAAACATTTTTTTCTCTCCCTGTAGTTTCTCTCCCTCACACGTCAAAATACGAGAGAGAGAGGTGGCGAGGAAAAAAGTGAGCCAGAAGTTTTTTTTACACCACGTGATGTGCTCGCTGATTCCTGGCCTTTCCTCCTCCCCAGGGTCAGATACCTCCCCTTTAAACGTCCTGCAGGAGGTATTACGCATTCCTTCGGGAGAAATTAACACGAAAAATGACTCCCTTGTTTAACTCTAATGTGTGTGTGTTAGAGGAAGAGTCCAGTGTCTGTTACGTAGGAGGAACAGTCCGATAATTTGTTTCTGGGTAGGACAAGCGCAAGTATTTGTGATAGTGATGTTTTGCTTGTCAGGAGATTGCTTCTTGATAGTGGTCTGGTCACCAACATGAGTTCAGTGCTTTAAAGTATTGGTCGATATGAATTCCACTGGACATCATCCCCTACGGGTTTAAAGCCCTTAAACAGAAGCACAAAGGCAATATAAAATAAAAATTTGCTAGTGATTATCAGAATCTGTAATATTACATCGCTAATTTTTTACGAACAATAACAGCTACACTGAGATATCCGTCCCTCACGGATGGGGATACAACCCGCGATCACAGTCTCTCAAAACTCCAGACCGTCGTACTTAGCGGTACATTTTACCATTGATATACAAATGATTAATAATAAACCTAGATCTACAAATATTATTTATTATTGTAATTACATTGCAGGGTGAGCACTCAAGGTGTACTAGTTAGTATCCCTCTCAGGATGATCATCCCATTTCTACACGCACCACCACTACATATTTTACACTCAATCGTGGATGCTGGTGTTTTCTGTCTCAAACATTTAATATGGTGTGTAAATATTTTAACTTGTATAATCTTTGCTTTTTTTTTATTTTTAGGAAATATTTCCTACATTTAGAATGTCAGGTCAAGAGCTGTAGATGGACAAAATTGATAGAACCAGTAAGAGATTTTGATATAAAATAGTACACCTTAAAGTAGTCAGATATATGAATGAGAATAAGGTAAAAAAATTGCTTGTACTAACAGCAGAAATGCACCCTTGCCAGGAAGTGATGCAACCCACCTTCAGGTCAAGCGGCGTATCCGGTCTGCTGGTGCCGTCCAGGTGGATAGCGGAGCGTGAGGATCCGAGAGGGTTCTGAGCTTGACACTCGAAAAAGCCGTAATCTTTGTTGGTGACGTTCTTCACTAGCAGAACACTCTCGTATGTCACAAGTCCGTCTACCAGCTGAAAAATTTATTAATATATATATTTATTAAATATTGAATATATTTATTATTGTATATAGTATGTATGCCCTCTCAATTAATATTTCACAATGTGCTACCATGTATAGGCCTACCTCAGACAGGTTTCAGACCACTGTGAACCCCATTATTCCAAATAAAGTTGAAGCGAGTCAACAGCCATATCTCTCGTCTACCTCTATACTACCCAGCAGGTTTTACAGCAACCCCAAGAAGGCAGTGAACCAGTTTAAAACATTCCATAAAATAACTAAGCACGTTCTCTGCAAATTCAAAAGTACCCTCGCCTCTTCCATACATTTACAGAATCAAATTAATCACTCTACCCAATGTTTCACTTACATCTCTCTTCAAGGCACATTCCTTGATGCTGGTGAGGTACTTTTGATCTACGGAATTGGATCTGTGCTCCAGTTCCCTGAATACCTTCTATACCCCCCACATACGCTGTATAATCCTACGGGTTTAGCTCTCCCCTGCTATTATAAATAATTCACTTACATATCTCTCTCCTTCACTCGTAAAAGCTGCTGTATGTCCCTGATCTATGGATGAAATCACTACTTCCCTCAAAATACTGCCAATACCTCTAACTCCACTATTTTGTTTTTAACTCTAATTCATTTGTTTCCTATGATTTCTCAACCTATTTAAATCACTCCCACATGTCTTACCTTGGAGTTCTCCACTACATATCTGTTGTCGAAGCGGGAGTAGATGGCCGGCTCGATGGGGGTGTTGTCACGGGTGTACCAGGTGAAGTGTACGTAGGGCGCTCCTCTGGCACGGCAGGTGAGACGGGCGTGGCGCCCGGCCTCGGCTGCAGCCTTCTGGTACTTCGCCGACTTGTCGATGATGGGTTTGTCTGTATATCAAGACATTGAGGTCAGAGGGTGAACTGTGGGTACATATGTTTAGACTAGTGTCAGCAGACACTGCCTCAGCGTACTTATACTCTAGGTACACATGATATTGGAATCAACCCTTATCCCCCCCCCCTTTTTATATTTACTCGTTTCTACTCATATTCCCACTACTGCGTATTTCCACTTGAACTCATTCTCCCGATAGATTTATATAATCAAATTGAGTTAAGGGGCAGTTATAGTTTATACTATGACATGTATGCACACACAAGTGTGACACTCATAGTGTTGAATATACTTACGTTTTACGACGATGGTGGTGTTGGCAGTGGCTTCGTCTCCGATCTCGTTCTTGGCATGACAAGTGAAAACCCCCGTGTCTTCGATGCTCACGTTCTTGATTGTCATCTCCACTACGTTCTGATGGACAAGAGGCGGAAGGAATTATATTTACATGAAATGTTAAACCTGAATGGGTCATTCAGCTCTGGTGTGCTATTTTCTATTTTCCATAATATATATTAGATAAAATAGTAACTAAATGTAAACTGGCTTGTGGGAGAAGAAAGGAAATAGTAATTAAGAGAAATAATTAAAGAGCGAGGCAGAGGAGGCAACAAAGGAGCGTAGGAAATTCAGTGTGGCGAATAATGGGTGGAATCAATCAGCATCATGGAAAAAAAAGACTCCTGAGAATGACAAATGTCTGGCTCTGCTCAGATTGCAGAAGCGCAGGAGAATGATATTTCATACTTGATCTTCTTGCCTCTTCACCAGCCACGATATACGGCGCAACTCGCACCACCAACACGCAAATTGAATTCTAGCCCCCCAAAAAAAAATTGCATATTGCTGAATGTGACCTGCAGTGGATCGGCTGACCTTAAGGTAATCTAGTGCTTCATTTTGACGTTGGTTTATCAGTTACAATCAGATTCTAAATGTTTTAATGCTATATTACACACTCGGGCGTTGTGTACGTGCCTAATTGCGGATGCAAGGGTCAGTTCATACCGCCTGGCCCTGTGAGTGATTATATAATATATATATATATAATATATATATATATATATATATAACAGTAGTGCTGAAGGCGGCTGAGCGGCTCCTCCTGAGTGGTCCCTCCTGAAAAGGTCTGCGGCTGAGCGGTCCCTTCTGAACGGTCTCCTCCTGCGCCTGCCCGAGCGCCAGCCCGTCCGCGCCGACCCACGACATTGACCTCACCCTCGACCACCTCGCCCTCGACCATGCCCTTCAACCCCCCCCCCCCCGTGCGCCGCGCCTTCTGCAGCGTCGTCCGGATCGCCCCCGCTCCAAATTTTTTTCAGATTTTTTTTTTTTATTTTTTTGAATTTCATATGCTCTCCATCTCCTCGGATCAAGTTTTTCTCGACATCAATAATACAAAGATTCCCCCCCCACACCTCCCACCATCCATGTCCAAGTATTTCTCCTCCACTTCCTCGGATCAAGTTTTTTTTGGATTCCCCCCTCTGGGGGTAAGCATTCAGAATGGACTCCCACTTTCACCCTAAATTTTCCTGCTCTACTTCCTTGGATCAAGTTTTTCTCGATAATACCAAGACTCCATCTCCTTGGATTCCCCCCTCTGGGGGTAAGCATTCAAAATGGACTCCCACTTGCATCACAAATTCCCTGCTCCATCTCCTCGGATCAAGTTTTTCTCGATATCAATAATAAAGATTTTCCCCCCACACCTCCCACCACCCACTTCCATCCCAAAATTCCTGCTCCATCTCCTTGGATCAAGTTTTTGGATTCCCTCCTCTAGGGACTCCCACTTTCACCCCAAATATTCCTGCTCCATCTCCTTGGATCAAGTTTTTCTCAATATCAATAATACAAAGACTCCACCTCCTTGGATCAAGTTTTTTTTGGATTCCCCCCTCTGGGGGTAAGCATTCAAATGAACTCCTCCTATGGGGCATGGTACTTTCTCTTACTACAGGTCTAAACAAGTGTGACGTCACGTGATGACCTCTCACACAGGCTGAATCTTGTCGAGCAGACAATAAAATGCAGCATAACACTAATACACAATATTTTCATTTATTTATTATACAACCAATACATTTCATATACATTCAACAAAAAAATTCATTGAAAAAAAAAGGTACAATTCATTGACTAAAATAAACATATTTTTCTCTTGAAGAAATTCTGCGCATTTTGTTCTGGATCTTCGTCGTCACCATCTCAGTATTACATATTTCATATACAACATAGGGAAAACATTACACATTTTTCACTCTTAACCCAGGATAACCCAAATAATTTCACATTTTTTTTCGTTAATACCCACAACAATCCACAATTTCTTTACAAAATACAACACAAGTCTAGACATTTTTCTCATTTTAGCTATTTCATCAGAAAGTCACCACAACACTTACAACCACTTTTTGATAAATTCACTAGTCACAATTTTACATATTACGAAGTTAATACGCACGCGCGTGCACACACACTTCTCAATATCTCTTAAGAAATATTCATCTACAACCTTTATCATCTCACTACAAAACATCCCCCAGATTACTTCTAACATTCTCAAATCATTTGAATGCTCACAAAAATACATTTGAACATTTCCAAACACCAAAACACTCCCAAATAAGATTTGACATCTCTAATTTATCTACTTATATTATTTCATTAAATTACAACTCATCCCCCAAACTCCTCCCTCATTCTCCAGATTTTTACAACAGTATCACAAAAACTAACTCACACTTTACTTCGAACAACACCAAAAACACCATCAATTACCTTTGGATACTCCAAAAACATCATTCGAACACCCCCAAATCACCACTGAATACTCCCAGAACTCATTCATAAATACTCTTGCACATCATTTGAACACCTTTAAAAACACCTTTGAATAGTCTCAAACACCACTTGAGTACTCCCAAATACACCACTGAATACTACTAAAACACCACCATAAACTTAGATCAACATCACAGACTAACACCCATTTTCACAAATCCTCTCAAATCAATATAACCAAGACGATTACCAGTTTCTACGAGTACACTCGCCTCCAAGATGTAACATGAGCGCAAAAAACATGAACACAAACCAAACACAATCATCTCTTTTTCGGTATCTCTAGTTCGTCAACAAGGCCCACAACCCACATCACCCACACCCCCCCCCCAACAACAACCCACAACTTATAACCACTTTTCAGCATCTCTAGTTCGACAACACCCACAACAACCCACTTATAACATCTTTTTTTGGTATCCCGAGTTCGACAATACCCACAACCCTCATCACTTAGCAATTTATTCACAATTTTTCCTCTTTCGATACAAATTTTTCCCCTTTTTATTGAATCTTAAAATGTAATGCACATTCCTCCCTACATTACTAAAATTCTAATAAAATCCTCTCCATACCCATCTCCTTGTATCCACATAAATTAATATTATACTCACAACAAGTAATCTCACTCCAGGTAATCTCACTACCCAACTACTGCGACATGTTTCTACATACTCCAATCTTTTCCAGTGTATCATAACTTTTCACTTCTATAATTTCTTTTGTAATATTCACACATTACCTTTATTTTCAGTAAAATCCCCCCATATTTCATTAAATTTTTAATACAACCCTCCCCCTCTCAATCTCACCCACATTTCTTCACATCCACTCACCCATCTCCCAACACACCTCTTCAGAACAAACACAAAAATCACATTTCACATCTATAAATGCATCTCATCACCCATCTCAAATCCACTAAAATCACTGTAACCAAGATATTCACAAAATTCTATGACCAACTAACACATACAGACAACTCACTTTACTTTGAACACCTTCAAAACACTCATACATCATCATTTGAGACCACCTTTTCTCAGTATCTCTTAAGAAATATTCTCTCATCGACAACCTTTATCATCTCACTACAGAACAACCCACAGATTACTTTGAATACTCACATAAACACCTTTGGACATTTTCCAAACACTGAAACATTTCCAAGTCAACATTTTGATTACTCCCAAATAAGATTTGACATCTCTAATTTATCTACACTTACATATTTCATTAAATTACAACTCGTCCCCCAAACTTCTCCCTCATTCTCCAGATTTTTACAACAGTATCACAAAAACTAACTCATACACTTATGTCATGAGACATTACCAACACTAACACACACACACCACACTTTACTTTGTACAACACCAAAAACATCATCAATTACCTTTGATGATGTTTCTTAAATGTGTTCAAATGATGTTTTTGGAGTAATCAAACTCCTTTGAATACTCCCAAAACAGCACCGAATACTGCCCAAACACTAAAAATCACCAGAAACTAAGATCAACACCACCAATTTCCACACAAATCCCCTCAAATCACTATAACCAAGACGATCCCACTCACCTCAGACTATTATATAACATGAGCGCAAAAAAAAAAAACTCAATCATTTGAATACTCACAAAAAAACACCTTTGAACATTTCCAAACACCGAAACACAGCAGGATCACCACCAACTGAAGACATAACATGTACAAAAAAAAAAAAAAAAAAAAACAAGACATCCATCAACTATCATCAATGACCACTCATTTTTATAAACATTCGCACAAAAAATCACAATCACCAACTCCATACAATATCTAATACTCCTCTCACTACCACAAACACATACCAGAACAGATAGGGATACCTCCCATGACATCACACTCCATCCTGGGTTTACTTGACGTCACACACCCCACTTTTACTTCATTTAACTTATTGAGAGGAAGCTACTTGTTTCAACCTGTTACATCTCCAATATCTAAGATCACAATCAAGACGTTTACCAAATTCTATAACCCCACCACTAAGATCACACATTCTCTTAAAACATCATCATAACGAAGATCACTAAAACTATCTATACTTTTACTAAGATCATAACATTTTGTCTTCTCTAACTCTCTCGCCAATTTACATTTTCATTCACACTTACACATTTCATTAACCGAAATTACATCTCATCCACCAAACTCCTCCCTCATTTTTCAGACTTTACAACATTAGCACAAAAAAAACTAACTCATACACATATGACATGAGACATTACCACAATTAACATACTGACTAACTTTAAACATCACCAAAACACCACTGAACATCTTCAAAAAATACTCTGCACATCATTTGAACACCTTCAAACACCTCCGAATACTCCCAAATCACCACTGAATACTACCAAAACAGTCAAAATTACCAGAAACTAAGTTTAGCATCACCAGCTAACACCCATTTTATAGAAATTCCCTCAAATCACTATAACCAAGAACTCCCTCCCCATGGGCGCAAAAAAAAAAAAATGAACACAAACACTTAGTACATGATCACCATCAACTGAAAACATATC